TTTATGGTAAATAGGAATAATTTCTGTTCAGTGGAAAAGATAATTCTTACGTTTATGGTTTATGAAGTAGTTTTGTACCCAGCAATCTTATCCTACTGTTTCTTCATTAAATTCTTCATTAAATTGTGTACACACACACACTCCCACTTCTCATGTGATCTTTGGGTTACTTTTAATATCTTATTTGTCCCTTATTAACTAATGAATTGAATCAGATTTTTGACACATATTCATTTGATGTTTGCTGTGGAGTCAGCTTTTTTAACCTTTTGAGAATCACACTTCAGCAGGAATCTGCAATGACTGAACCTGAGAGCCCCAGCGCACTACTTGGGAGGCCACAGCCCTCACGTTTGCCGGGGACAATCAGGATTTTATGAACTGAGCCCCCTCTTCCTAAGGGGCTTTTAGGAGAGAGTGGTATTAAAGAGAGAAGACATTTATAGGAGCATTGTCATGTCAAGTCTAAGTCTTAAAGTACTTCCATATGTGGGACCGGGGATTGATGAAGTGAAATTTCCAACTTCCCAAACCTACTGACTTGCGAGCCACCTGACCCTTCCATGGGGAGTTTTATATACAAGCATCAAACCCTGATGACTTCTCTTCCAGGGGTTACTGGTTATGTGGTGGCCCTAGCCATACTCCCCTCCCCAACCCCACATTGTAAGGGCTCTGGATGAGACAAGGCAAGAGGGACCACCCCACCCACCCCATGTTGACAGCTGGAGACATGCCTGGCTATCATGAAGCGGTGTAGAAACCCGTGACCTGGCAAGAGCTGAGAAGACCCACCCCACCTAAGTACCCAGGACCTTTAAACCAAGTTCCCTGGCTGTCATCAAAGTGAGCGAGGTCAAGCTGACCTATCACACCTGGGACCCTCAGAGGGGTGGCAGTGGCACAGGAGCGCTGACATCACACATAGCCGGTCTTTTAGGATCTCATAGGCCCTACTCTTCACTCTCTCCCACTTGCAAAAGCCTCCTATCCAGCACTTCCTGGTGCAAAATTCCTGAGAAACGGGGTCCAGCCCTTCTCCTCTGCAGGCTCTTCTGCAGAGTAGCAATAGCTCCAGCAAATACATCCTCCTTCATTTTATCATGTTTTTTGAGACTCCATGGAGTTGGGGTAGAAGATTCATTGCAAAGGCAGAAAAAGGCATTTGAAATGGAACGGGCAAGAAGTAAGATGGGACAGAGAAGAAGATGGCTGGGAGGTCAGAGTCAGGGGGCATGGGAGGAAGAAGGCACCTGCCCTGCCAGTTAGGAGCATGGACATTGGATGAGCATCTCCCAGGCTCCCGTGAAGGGCACAGCCAGAACCCAGGTCTGCAGTGTCCCAGCCCTCCCTACACGGTTCCCTGTTCTCTCCTCCTGGGAACAGAAACATCCACAGCATTTGCCACTGGGGAAGTTTTATGTGGAAACTGTATTCTCCTCCTTGACTTTCTTCTTTTTTAATTTAAAAATAAATATTAGTCTAAGAGTTATAAGGAAAAAGGAAAATGCACATTTTCTTCATGTTTCTTCATATCAAAAGGCAATAATGTTAGCTGCAAAACAGAAGACATTCTTTTAAGCTGATTAGCAGGAGAGAAAGTTGACAGTAGTTGTTAGTTTGAAGAGGACATATTACACATCTATTTACCTTGTTTGATCTTTCAGGGAAAATGTCCATAGCTTCCATCTCTTTAAGATGATTTAGCCCACTCTCCTGAAGTACCAGTAGGTAGGTTGGAAACATGGTTTATTGGTTGGAAATGTGGTTTCTAAAATTAGCACAGTTAGCAACTCTTGCATTTACTTACTACCTGTGCATGCTCTTAATTTGCTCTTAGCTCTTAGCTTTCAGAGTCACCACCTTTGCTTCATGGTTCTTCAATATGATTGTTGATTTTGGAGCATAGCAATTCCCAATCCCACCCCCCCCCCACACACACAGTAGGGCTTCTCTTTCTCTCTGGGACCATGGTGAAGTATTCTAGCAGCAACCCACTGCAGCTTAGTGTTCTCGGCACACCACTGTGAGCCGTTCTTCCATATTCCCAAGTCCTGGGAATAGCATATAAACCCTCACTTACGTGTTTTGTTTCCAAAGCACTCCTCATACCTATTATCTCATTTAATCCTTTAAACCACCCTAGGGATAGGCACTGTTATTAGCACCATTTTATAGGGGAAGAAATTAAAGTTCAGAAAATTTTGCCCAAGTTCAAGGTGGGAGTGTTGGAAGCTTGAACTAAGACCTCCTTCCTTATTTTATTTATTATCTTATTATTTATATTCAATTATAGAAATTATATACCATTACTTGTTATTTGTCCTTGTTTTATTGAACTGATTGCAGTCTTTTGCTGTTATTATTTATTTTAATGTTCAGATTGTCCCAGATTTGGCCAGTGGCAGCCCCTTTAAGCTGGCTTCTGCATCCTTTTGACATGTCCTCCTTGTTTGCTGAGTCTTTCTGTACTTTCTGTTGCAACAGGATGCTCCATGCCCTAGCCCAGGAATCAGCCCCGTTTCTAAGGTGCCCTGGCTACTCTGGGGCAGAATGGAATTTAGAAGCCAAGATCTGGTGCTAGGTGTGCTCACTACACGGGATGTGATTGCTTCTAGGCCCTGTCAATGAACAGAACTAGGAGGGGAAGTCTATATCTGTATGGATATGTATATCTGTATCAATATCTATGTATGAAAACAAACATAGCCATATATATATAAATTTTCTGTATCTAAATTTGAAAATGAGTTCATATTGACACCTCATTTTTTTAACTAATTACCTCAGAGTCCATTCTATTCTTCCCTCTTTCCATAGTTGGAACTCCCATCCCCAACAGTGATGGAACTGGCTGATAAATAAATGTGTAGTGGTTAATAATTTCTGTCCCTCAGGGATCACTGTCCTTTGTTGTCTAATGTTCAGTATCTTGCATATCATTGTTTCACACAGAGACTGTCCATTTTTTTTTATTATTTCCAGGGAGAGGGTAACTTCTGTCCCATCTTAGCTGGAAGCAGAGATCTACTAATGATTTTTTGATGAGTTTTTTAATGTCTTGTTATGAATACCTTCTGCCTGGGCACATTATATAATGAAGCAAGTTTGGTATTTAATCCCTCAAGCAAACCTGCTGAGACCTTCCAGTTTCCTCTGTTAATACCCTCATATTTCATATTCTATGTTAGATTATTTGATCAATGACTTTGTCCCTCACTAGACTGGAAGCTCAATGAGACATGGTGTCAGCCATGTTTTTGTTTTGCTCATCATTTCAGCTTCTAGTAGATGCCTTTTGTTAAATCGATATTTGCTAAAAGAATGAATGTGTTCTGTCAGCAAATCACATTACTATTCTTTGAACACAGAATTCCAGGGAACTTCATCACGTCCTCATTTGATTATACTGTGTATTTTCACAGTGTCAGTTCCAGGACACCTCTACATTTGCTCAATCTACCAGTCATGGAGAATGTTGGTAGACGGGCACTTCCGTATTAGGCTTGCAAGACTGTGCCATATGCCTTCCACCAAAGAGGAAGGACTGGCTGCTCGGATCCTGGCAGCTGGGCCCAGGAGCCTGGGACAGTCGAGGATCTCCCACGGTTAGACAGCCAGGCCCTGCACAGAGGGCACTGGGCAGAGATGTATTCCTAGAAACTGTACAGTTTTATTGGAGAATCCTGTTTTCTTGTTGGAAGTAAACTGTCACTGGGAGAAAAGGGAAGGAGATAGTTCCATCACATCCATGTGTAGTACTAGACACGGACTGTTCATTGTTGACTCTTCAAAAGACCTGCAGAAACATCTGTATGTAGATCAAGCAAAGCTAAACTTATTGGCTCTGCTGTAATATGGACAACACCTTCTGGACAGTCTTAATAGAGACTCAAAATCAGAAACTTAGGGAAGGATTTGAGAGAACAAACATGTAAATGCACAATGGCCAGACGATATGTAACAACAGACCTCTGACCCCCAGTCTCCGCACCAGCTAGCCCAGGAAGCCAAACCACAACGTTTGCAGCGATTGGCCTAAAATGATGAAGGCTGGTCAACGACTGACAGCTCCCCTAATTTTGCCCCCTTCCCACCAACTCAGAACTATCCAGCGAGAGCCAAATATGCCCCTCAAACCAATCACACAGGATTCCCCCCTTCTAGTTAACCTGCCTCCAGCTTCTCCATGACGACTTCCAATCAGAGCATACCAGAAGTCATCCTTTTTTGAAATAATTATACAATTTTATCACTTTTCTGCTTGTTTTTAGTCTCTGTCAAACACAAGATTTAACCTCTTGCTATAGCAAACTCTGAATAATGAGCCTCTGTTCTCATCTGAGTTCCCTTCATTTATCCCCATAGGTATGTATGAAGTTTTTAGAGCTGGAGCTGGGATTTCTAGGCAAGTCTTGAAAAGCAGGAGCTGGTTGGAATGGGCAGAGTTTATGACATAATACCTTTGGAAGGCACAGCAAGGCGAGAATCTGGAAGTACTCACTTGATGAGAAGTTAGCCTTGAAATGCAAAAGCAGTTTAATAGACACACACTTTTATTTTCCAGGAGCAGGTATTCCCTGGAGCAAAGAGCTAGGCTATTTTTGTTTGGTCCCAGTAATATTTAACACAGGGAGAGGAAAGTATGCCTGGTCCAAGAATTGGCTAACCCAAGGACAGGGAATTATGCTGGTTCCAATCTGTGGAATTGAGGAGGAGAAAAAATTCATTTTTAAGTTCAAGCTTGAGTTTTTTCTTTTTTAACCACACTGGACAACACGGTCAGTCACTTGAATAATACCCTCACTAGCATAAGAGACTTCCTTAGCTACCGTCCTGTTGTACTAACCCATAAGGTGCTGCATGTGGATTAATCCTATGACATGTGGTGAAATTGTTTACATCTCTGGTCGCGACAACTGCCTGTTGGCGGTGGCTCTGAGGAACAGTGAACTCAGAAGGGCGCTGAAGCCAAGTGAGGTCTCAGCACATGTCTGCACAGCACATGTCTGCTCTGGGCACAAGTTGACAGTGGAGAGAGTTTAAACTTTATACTTCAGTCTCAAAAATGTTTATCTCTAATGAGCTCTGGCCCACATATCTGACCACCCCCGGGGAACCTTATCTGGATGTTCTACAGCCACGCCGATCTGCATGTGTCCAAAACTGAAATGATAATTGCTCTCCTTCACCAAAGGTTTGCTAATCGAGCCATCAGATTGGCCTCATGATCCTTGTCATCACAGTGTTCCAGGCAGCCATTATCAGATTAGCACGCGATTCAAGATAAGCCCTCTTTGCAACCTGGCTAAGGAAATTTGTTCTGATTGTGGAATTAAAGGCATCAGCAATGGGGATGAGGGAAGACACTGATGAAATGATGAAAATCTAACCTCTTGAAATTTTATCTCATTTTTTCTTGGCCCTGAGTTCAGAAGCAGGGTTGGAGGCAAAAATTCAACCAGTACTGGATTACCTCAGTGATAGACACTGGGGAAAATGAAGGTAATAAAACTTTTAGACCATTTTAGATTCATGCTTTACAATATCCTATTTAACTTACATAGCCCATCTCTCATGACTTCATCTCCTTAATCTCCAATATTTGCACGGTCAGATGGTAATTAGAAGACAACTTTATTTATGGGAAGAATTACAGTGTCAGTTCTATGTAGGGTGGTATCTGTGTTTATGCAAAAAGTACTCCCTGATAGAAACAGGTATAAAACTGATTGATGTCTTCAAGCAACTGAGGGGTCTCTGCTGGCAGCCAAGATTATTGTTTCCTGATAGAAAAACTGGTGGAGAAAATTGAGTTCTTATAATAAATTCCATAACTGCTTAGCTGTAAATGATTTTTTAAACGTCACTTGACTGTGCGAACTGGTTAGAGTAGAAATATTTTAATGATATTTCCAGAGCTTAATGTCAACCATCAGTGTCCAATAAATGAAAATTACTTTTAGTGATACATCTGGAAATATGATGGTTTTTTGAGCCAAAAATCTCTCAAGATTTGCATATAATCTGGATTTTTATTTCTACTGTGTGCCTATTATATAAACTTCTGGTATTTGTTGTAGAGAAACAGAAGATAAACTAGACACTACTTGGAAGATTGAAAAATGAGTAAAATATCAAGACATGTTAAATTTATTGTTTGCTTGAGAGAAAGAAAGTGAATAATTTATTTAAGGGAAATAATTTTCCTTAAAGAAAGGGCAATATTTTAATAAGTAGAAAGGAGAAGGGAACATATTTTGAAATGGGAGCAGCATCACTGGAATGAAAAATGTAATGTGACAAAGTAGCAATTTTGGAGGAGAAAACACTCATCTGAATGGAAAATTTTGTTGCAGTCCTGTAAAATCCCAGCTTTATCTTCATTCTTATCTGTTGATTCATTTAACCAGTATTTACTGAGTAGCCACTCTGTACTGGCAACGTATGAGGCACTGGTGATATTTCAGTAAATAAGAGAGTCACAGTTTCTTCTTTCATGAAGACTGTTGAGTGGAATTTTCATGAATGATCTAAATACAGATCAACCAGACCTTAAATTGCAGGTCCACCATCATGAAAAACCTTAAGTCTTTCTATGTTGCTGCTTCTGTCGTTCCTAACCAGTTCATCCATTTAGTCTTTGAGTCTTTTTTTTTTCACTTAGCATAGGGCATTGGGATACATAATGTTGTTTGTATTAACAGTCCATTCCTTTTCATTATTGAGTGGTATTCGATTCTATGGATGTACTGCATTTTGTTTATCTAGTCTCCAGTTGAGGCATTTTGGAGTTGTTTCAAGGTTTTAGTGAGTAAATTGCTATAAATATTTGTTTAGAGCTTTTTGTGTGAATATAGACCTTTCATTTCACTTCAGTAAATAATGAGGAGTGGAAAATTGGGCCATATAGATAAGCATATATTGAATTTTATAAAAGCGGTGAGACTATTAGAGTGGCCGTACCATTTTGCATCCCCACAGCAATGAACAAGAGTTCCAGCTGTTCTGCGTCCTCATCAGTACTTGACGTCATCGGTTTTTTAAAACCATTTTATTAAGTGTTATCTCGTTGTGGTTTTAATCTCATTGTGTATCTCACTGTGGTTTTAATTAGCATTTCATTAATGACTAATGATACTGAGCATCTTCTCATCTGCCATTTGTCATCTGCATATCTTTTTTGGTAAAAATGCCTGTTCAATGTTTTTGTCCATTAATAAATTTGATTGTTTCCTTATGGCTGAGTTTTGAGAGTTCTTTACATATACCGGCTACACGTCCTGTGTCAGACGTATGGTTTGTAGGTCTTTCCTCCCAGTCTATGTTTGTCTTTTCATTCTGTCAACAGTTTTGTTTGCAGAGCAAACATTTTTAACTTTGATAAAGTCCAATTTGTTTATTCTTTTATGGATTGCGCTTTGTATCTTAAAATCGTATATTTATATGTTAAAAGCCAAATTTATAAAAAAAAAAGAATAAATTCCTCCTAGCAACAATAGATTATCTACAAATAGTACATTAGCTATGTCTCCTGATGTGACGTCAAAAAGAAGAAGAAATTAGATAATTTATGCTGGGAAAACCAGGTTACAGTATGAAAGATGGGACAAGGATTTAATAATACTGATTTTTAAAACACAGAACTAAAGACTTTAAGATTTTGTCCAACTATAGCATGTAAATAGGTGAAATAAAATGCTTCATGGGGGCTTCAGATACCCATTCACTTATTCATTCATTCATTCATTCATTTATTTAAAAATTTTTACTGAGCACCTATGATGAGCCAGGCACTGTGTTCTAGATGAGGGCACGCAGATGAATATGATGAGAGACAGAACTTTGCACAAATAAATCAACAGATTATAACGCAATGTGGTAAGATCTATGGTTGGCCCATGTTCACAGTAAACCATGCTTCTTTTTGCACAGGTAGTGGTTTTGTCGCACTTATCTCAGTTTGCAATTATTTATTTGTGTGACAGGACTTAATGTTTGTCTCTCTCACGGTCTGCTCCAGGAGAACAAATACAACATATATTTTCTTCATAGTGACTGGCACATAATAGGAGCTGGGTTAACAATCATTGAGTACATAAAGTGCTTGCTCTTGAAGTACAGAGACAAGGAGTTGCTAAATCTGCTTCTGGGATCTCATTAAAAAAGTGACATTTGAAGTGAGTCTGGAAGCAGAGGTAGGAACTTGCTGGTGGGGCTGGGAGTGGGGGTGGGGCTGGGGAGAGAAGCACAGTGTTCCAGCACTGGACAGCCTTAGCCATGGGCATGTGGGGTCACATAGCACCTGTGGGAAGGACATAAAGTCGCAGTGGGGTAGGATCATCCCATGAAGGGAAGTGTCGGTGCAGCAGATAAGGCTGGAATGGAAGGCAGGGATCAAGATGGGAAGGAAAGGCCTCACCAGCCAGGATAGGCTTGCACTTCATAGCAGCGGAGTTGGGGAGACTGAAGGATTGTAAGCTTTTAAGTGACAAGGTCAGTAGAGCAGTTAAGATCATGGCTGAAGCCCTGGTAAGAGATGATAAGGGTGTGGCCATGGCAGTAGAGATGCTGAGGAGGGACAGACCCTAAAACTGTTTTAGGAGACTGAATTCACGGGACTTGGTGATTCATAAGATGTGAAGGGTAGAGTAGAGGGAGAATTGAATGCTTTAGCTCTTCTGATGCCTGAGGAGCACTGTATATAGAGAGTTAACATATTAAAAAATGTTTTTCCTGATTAATAAGTATTACATGTTCTTTAGAAAATACAGCAAAGTATTGGAAAAAAAAACCCAAAAAATTATCCATTATCTCAGCACACAGAGATAATCACTGCCGACATATTGAGTGCCTATCCTTCCATCATTCTTCTGAAATACAGTTTTGAAAAGACTTCCTAAGGATTCAGTCTCCACCAGGAGTTTAGAGTCTCTTGAACTGCATTAATATACTGAACTTAATTTTGAACCCAAATATCAAGTTTTGACTATACTATGAATTGAGTCAAGATTTTAAAAGAATCAAGTGAACTAAGTACATAGACGGGAACTTTAGTAGAAAGAATTTCTTCCCTGGAAACTAAATAAGAGGCAGCGATGACACTGAGGACATGTCCTCATTAGTACCAGATTCAGAGAGGTGACGTGCCCAGTTACGGAGGGACATTTCCAGGTTCTGTTTGATTAATTCATGTTCAATTCATTCAATGTGCTGAGCCCTGCAGGAAGGCAGCCCCGCAGTGATCACCTCCCGTGTCCAAATACTCTAAAGGAGTGCTAATTATTTTTGCCCACTTGAACCTAGAGCTTGAGCACATAAACTAAATAAGACAAAAACTTTCTGAGGCCCAGGAGCTGTTAATCAAAAATACATTATCTGAGACCCTTCCAAATATAGGGAATGGGAGGGAAATTTAAAAAGGGGGGGGGGATATTTTTATGTTAAGAGGGAGTAGATCACAGGGAGGAGCAGAGTCAGGAAGATTCAGAGATCTGCCTGACAAGAATCTCGAAGAATAGAAATACCAAAGAGGAGAGAGAGGGGCCTCAAAGATGGACAAATGTAGCTACTGGGCGGGCCGTCCTCGCGAAGGTAGCCTGCAGGCCGGGTAGCAGGTGGATGATGGTGGGGCAGCTGATGACAAACTCCCAGCTCCCGGACAGACCCGCAGTCCTTCCTCCAGTCCTTTCTGGGGACCTTCCCTGGTCACTCACCGGTCACTGCCAGCCCTCATCGGTGCCCAGAGTAGGGGAATAATAGGGCCACTCTCTGCTTCCCATCTGAGGCTCTGGATTGAAAAGTCCAGGAGAGTCAAACAAAATTTATAACAAGGAAGAGAAAAATCAATTCCTCCAGGGAGGTTGGGGGTAGGGGCCTTATAAGGAAATGTATGGCAGAGAGTGGGAGAATTCAGCCCGGGGTTTTTCCCACTGACACCCACAACTGGACACTCACTTTCTCGCGAGGAACTGCCACCACCACCCGCTCCGCGGCTCTCTCCCCCACTCCG